GGCTCCAGGCTCTGAGCCATCAGCCCAGAGCCTGAGCCTGTTTCCGATTCTGTGTCTCCCTCTCTCTCTGCCCCTCCCCCGTTCATGCTCTGTCTCTCTCTGTCCCAAAAATAAATAAACATTGAAAAAAAAAATTAAAAAAAAAAAAAGAAATCTCACCCTTGGGTCACTCATGACCCCTGGGCCCATGAAAAGAAGCTCGTCAGTCCTGCTTGGTTTGTCAAGATTAGTTTTTCCATTTGGTCTAAGAAGAACGGATGTGACATATAACCAGCCCTACTACGTACCAGATGCTGTGCTACATACTTTCCTTGAATTATCCCTAATATCCCAACAAAGTAAAGTAAACAAAGGAGTCATTATCCCTCCTGTTTTATAGACAAGGGAACAGAGGCCCTGTGAGGTTATTGCCAAAGGGCTCCAGTTTGAAGTGGATCGGATTTCAGATTGCTCTGATTCTATGTGTAGCCTTCTGGCAGCAATGATGATGATAGCCAATGTGTTGAGTACCTACTATGTGTCGACACTGTCCTAGGCATTAACCCTGTTATCACCAGTCCTCAACAGGCCCTACTTTATGAGGCAGGAATTGTTATCTGTATTTTATAGAGAAGAAATGAGCTTAGGGAAGTTAAGTAATTCATTCAAGAGAATGAGAGCTTCTAGCTTCTAGAGCTAGAAGACAAGCCAGGCTTTGAGCACAAGGTTGGCTGGACTCTAAACTGTGCTTTCTCCCACACTCCCTGCCTTTCACAGCATTGCCAGTGAGGGGGGCCCCCCCCCCCCCCCTTGGCCAGGTAGTTTGTGGATGTTGATTGGTCTGCTCACCTCTCTAGCTAAAATGACAACTGTAAAGACAGGCTTGGCTCCCCCATGGGGCTCAGAAAGCTCTCAGCCTTCAGGGGGCCTGTATGTGCCCATCCACTGGACTACCTCTTCCTAAGGAATGATCCCAAGGAGATCTCCCCATGGGCACTTGGAGCCCGTATCCCACCATTACCTTATCCCTGGGATTATTGCCAAGAAACACTGATGGCTACCCAAATTAAATAATTAAATAAACAAAATAAAGTTTGAAGGGAAAGAGAGAAAATAGATTTTGGGGATAGAAATGGAGTACAGCTAGTTCCCCAGTTTCTAGAGCAGAGCAGGGCCAGAGGCAAGGAGATGAGAGCTGGAGGAGAGGACTCGGCAGAGCCACATTGGCCTCACTCTCAGGCCTTTTAAAATTCACCTCCACAGTTTCCAAAGGAGAATAAAGGGCCCTCAGCCCTAAATCAGGCCACTGCACACCAAGGTCCTTTGCCGAGGCCCAGGGCCAGTTGGGCTGCAGATCCAGCCTCTGTGTTTGAACTCACCCACGCGCAGCATGCTAATGATGGGCTGGTTTGGTGCAGACCCTTCAGCCCCTCTCCCCACACCCCCACGGCCCCAGAGCCCAGGGTCCCCTGCTGAGCGGCAGCCTGTGCCTGGTGGCTTACACCCTAGCACATGGTTGCAAAGAGGGTTTGTGTATGGTGAGTGTTCTGGATGGGATAAAACGGAGGAACGCCCTGCCCTGAGCTGAGAACCAAAGCCAGAAGGCGCCAGTGGGGAGGAGAAGGGGGGAGCTCCCTGACCCCATTCTCTTCCTTTCCCCTCCCTGCCCACAACTTCATGGGCAGCTTACTTCCTGCATGAAGCCTGTAGGCATTTTTAGGAATCCTTCTTTGGTTGGGTGTGGGGACCCATGAACCTTCCCCTCCCTTGCTCCTGTTTGTAGAGGAGTTTCTAGTAAGAAGTTTCCATTGCTTCTGCCTCCCTGTGGTTCCAGGACGCAGCCAGGCCAGAGGCTCAGCCTGGACAAGATCCACCTTCTAGGTGCAACCTTGTGGCGTACCCCCATAACCCCCCGAGCTTTCTCCTGGTCTTCCTGTGCTTCCTGCCCTTCCCCGCACCCCCCACCCCCCAGCCTCCACTGTCTTTCAAGGGAAGAGACACCACTCGGGGAAGACTGATGAAATGGGCTGCCCAAGAATTGAGAGGGCCTGGTGATGGCGATCCTGTCCTTCCAAAGAGGACGCGACTTCACCCTAGTGCTTCTCCACAGGTCCTTCTGTGCAGGTCAGAACAGTGGCCTTACTGCAAGCTGCTCAACTCCTTCCTCACCTGAGCAGAGCTGGGGAGTGCCCGTTTAATAACCTACTGCGGTAGCTACTGTTGTCATCTCTGTGTCATGAGACAGGAGCCAGAGAGCTAAGGTGGGGACCTCCAGGGTGTAGCATGAAGGGCAGTGTGCTCATGGGTGACCTGGCCAAAGGAGTCGACTCCTCACCATTGGGATGCAGTTAGCAGTGGGGTCACCCATCAAAGGGAAGACTGGACTAGGTGAATGACTTCCTAACTTGCAACCTGAACGCAGTACCTTTACGTTATAAGCATGTGTGCAGAGCAATACAAAATTTCACAGGGCAGTACTTACCCTTTCTGCAACATTTGCAATGCACTTAGATTTTCATGCCCTTTTATTCCATTCAAAGCAAACCAAGAAAGTGCTGATCATGACCTACTACATTGATTTCAGGACCTGCAGTATGAAAACAGTGGACACGATAATCTCAGAGGGCTTTTATGAACCGTAAGGAATAATAATTTACCAGACCGCAGTCATGTATATACCGCTGTTGTGATTTTCGCCAGATTTACACAGTTCTGTTCTTATGGACTTAGCGTTCTTCTTCAATTTGATTTATTGTTTGAAATATAACTTAGAAACAGAACTAGTGAAAATTCTGTACCGCTTGCAATAAACCAAAAGTTACCTTACCAATAAACACGCTAAAAACTAAACAATGTTACTAATCCTAATTATACACTGTTGCCCTTGGAAGGATCTAGGTCTGAGCCTCCCCAGCGGTTGTTTAAAGAAAAAGGAACAGGGGCGCCTGGGTGGCGCAGTCGGTTAAGCGTCCGACTTCAGCCAGGTCACGATCTCGCGGTCCGTGAGTTCGAGCCCCGCGTCGGGCTCTGGGCTGATGGCTCAGAGCCTGGAGCCTGTTTCCGATTCTGTGTCTCCTTCTCTCTCTGCCCCTCCCCCGTTCATGCTCTGTCTCTCTCTGTCCCAAAAAAAATAAATAAACGTTGAAAAAAAAAAAAAAGAAAAAGGAACAGAAGATAGAGGGATGTTAAAGACATGCCAGTATCAAACAGAGTCTTTGTTCTTCAGTAACAGGGAGATTGAAAGGAATCAAGAAGGGAATAACTTTCTCAACATGTGCTTGAGTGTGCTTTAATGCAGGGCAGCTAGCAAGCAGGTGCTAATCAAAGAGCCCCTCTGCGGTGGCATTCTCTACTTCTATCTACCCAGAGCCCTGGGCTCCATCGTTCCCGTGGTGGGAGAGGAGAAGAGAAAGATGATTTTCTCCTAGGAACAAATATACTAGAGCAGAGTCGCAGAGTCTCAAATTCTGTTGTGCATTTGAATCGCCTGGGGATCTTGTTAAGACGCAGGTTTTCATTCAGTAGATCTGAGGCCCGAGGTTCTGCATTCTAGCAAGCTCCCAGGGGATGCCAATGCTGCTGAAGGTCTAAGGACCACAGTTTGGGTAGCAGAGCTCCGGGCTCCTTGATTCCCATCCCTGGGAGACTGACTGCAGACTGTGAACCAAGTCAGACCCTTCTGAAACTGGACTCTAGCCAGATGAAAGGCAACCCATGACATGTCTCTCTTTTGAGCCCCCTTCTCGATAAAAACAAAAAGAATGAAGCAATTGATTGGACAGTCTAATGGGCACCAACCAGACTTGAGCTAGTGTTCGTACGTTCATGATCTCATTTAATCCACCCAGTAAACCTATGAAAGGTTGTTACCCTCACGCCAAGGATGAGAGGAGAGTGCGGCCATTGTGGTTGGCTTCTGCTGGGGATTTTTGTCATGGGGGTCTCCTGTGTTCACCCCCTCCCTGTGTGGCAGGAGGTCAGGCATCTGGTCTTTTCTGAGTGCCACTGTCTAGACAGAATCTGTGTCCTCCCCACCCCCCTTGCCCCCTGAAGGGCCGACTTCAGTGTTAATGGAGCAGAATGCCTTGGTTGTTAATTTTCTAGTGCATCATCGAGAGGGTTAATGAGAGACCAGCTGGTGTGCCACTCAGCCGTGTGGAAGCACCGTTTCCCCTTGATTTAGGTGGACAAACATTCTGCAGACCCCATGGCAGCTCCTGACTGACGTTCCCCCTTTGCGCCTGGATGGTGCCCACCCAGATGTGTCAGTGGGCACTGTGTTCCATCTTAGTGTGTACAACCTTCAGAGACTGAAAGCAGGCGCTGGTTCTGTCTCCTGCTCCCTGGAGGGGAAGGGCAAGACACAAATTTGACGTCTGAAATGCTCCTTCTGGCCTGGGGACGCTGTCTTGGCTGATCCATGCCGTTGTAGCCAGGTCCTTGCAGGGGATGCCTAAGCACCCCAAGTCCCTTCTCTGATGTCTCCTGAGGCGCCACCGGCTTTCCATGTGGCTCTAGCTATGATAAACCTACTTCCATCTCCTCTCCTTTGCCCTGGGGCATTTTCTCTCCACATTAGATCCAAACTGCCTTCAGGATCCCCCATGCAGGGGCAGCTGGGTGGCTCAGTTGGTCGAGGTCTGACTTTGGCTCAAGTCACGATCTCAGAGTTCATGGGTTCAAGCCCCACGTCGGGTTTTGCACTGACAGCAGGGAGACTGCTTTGGATTCTGTGTCTCGCTCTCTCTCGCTCTCTCTCTCTCTCTGCCCCTCCCCTACCCATGCTCTCTTTCTCAAAAATAAATAAACATTTAAAAAAAAAAAAAAGGTCCCCCATGCAGGGGGATCCTCGCACTATCCATTCAGATTTCTCAGTACCCCACAGCCATGCTCCGTGTTCTGGTGAACTCCCATCCAACCTCAAGCCTTGCTCAGCCTCCCACCACCTCCAGGAAGCCCCCCACCCCAAGCCTGATTATAGTGCTCACCCCAGTGAGGTCCCCAGCTCAGAACCCTGCTTGCTCCGGGCCACATCGTGGAGCACTTTCTTACCTGTTGTTTTGTAGTGTTTACCTATATAGTGTTTTGCGTCTGTTGTCTTTTCTTCTCTGCCAGACTCTAAACTCCTTAGAGGCATGAAGAAGAATAACAAAGGCTGCCATTTATAGGGTGCCTGACACTGTCCTTAAGTACTTTGCAATGTTCCATTTAATCTTCCACCTCCCGTGGAGGTCCCAACTATTTTTATCCAGTTTTATAGATGAGGAAACTTTCTTTTCAAGATTCTAGACACGTCCAACAGCTTTCCTATAAAGGGCCGAGCTGGGCTCTAAACCCAGATCTGTGTGGATGCCCCAGCCTGTGCTCGTCAGTGAGGGTGCCCAAAAGTCAGGGCTCTCAGAATGAGAACTGTATGTTTGAGACACTCCTCTGCCTGCTCTGTCCAGTTTGAGGACTGGCTCTGAACCACCACACGCTTCTCCCTTTCCCACACACCCAGCCGTGTCCTGAAGATGTGGGGGCTTGGAAATGCTCCATGATTGGTGGAGAGGGTATGAAGAGATAGAGGGTTCTGGGGGACCCAGGTCCATCATACAAGAGAATCGTGGAGCAAGGAAAATGCAAGGAGGCAGCAGAGCTGGGCCTGAGGAGGGCAGAAGGACAGTCAGAAAAGGATGTTGGAGAAGGGTGCCTGGGTGGCTCAGTCGGTTAAGCCTCTGACTCTTGATTTCAGTTCAGGTTATGATCTCACTGTTCTTGAGATCGAGCCCCATGTCGGACTCTGCACTGAGTGCAGAGCCTGCTTGGGATCCTCCTCCTCCCTCTCTCTCTGCCCCTCCCCCACTTGCACGTGCTCTCTCTCTCTCTCAAAATAAATAAAATAAATATTAAAAAAAAAAAAAAGACAGAAAAGCATATTGGAGAGACCAATCCCGTGACCCTCTCTGGACCCCAGCTGTAACTCAGGCCTCACTCAGATCAGGGCATGTTAATCAGCTGGGGAATCTTGTGAAAATGCAGATTCTGACCCAGCCAAGCCTCTGCTAGGGCCCCCATTTGGCATGTCAAGTCAGGCCCCCAGGTGATGCCCATTTGGCGTAGGAAGGACCTGGACTCCTCCAAGCCCTTTTGGAGGATCTGATTCGGTCACTTGCCAGTCTAGCACCTTCCCACCTCTCTCCTTTCTGCAGGGTAAAATCTAAACCACTTTGCATGGCCTGGGAGCCTTTTCAGACACTGTCTCCAGCCTCACCTCCTGGTGTTCCCTACCACACTCACGACCCTCCAGCCAACCTGAAGTTTTCATAGTTCCTCAGGCACCCCATGCCCAGTCATCATTTGGTATTTTTTGCACATGCTGTTCCTTTGCCCAGAGGAACACTCGTTGGCCTTTCTCAACCAGGTGAGGATGAGGTTGAATGTCACTCCTTGGGAAGTCATAGACTGGGGAGTGGGGGCTCTAGACCTAAGATCCTAGCTCTGGAGAGAAGTCCCCAAAGGTTTCTAGAATCCTCCCCTATCCCAGCTCCCAGCAAAGGTCATCTGTGGTCCCTAGCCTTGCAGAGGCATGGAATCAAGGTGACTTAATTATCCTTAATTGAACACTCATTATTTCTTGCCACCTTTGTGTAAAAATAGAGCTGAGAAGTACTGAAGTGAAACCCCACCTTGGAGTCCCAGGGGCATGGGGCCCCTCCCTGGGAAGGTGAGAGGGCACTCTTTGGAGCATGGGGAGGCCCTAGGCCATCTGTGCAAGCTCTGGGGAGCTGGCCTTGTGACCTGGGCCGGGGCTGCCGGGGCACTGTGGTCATGCCCTGGATTCTGAGAGGCCAGCCTGACCCTCCTGTCAGTAGTCTTTTTTTTTTTTTTTTTTTTGAGAGAGAGAGAGTTTGAGCAGGGGAGGGGCAGAGAGAGAGGGAGAGAGAGAGAATCCCAGGCAGGCTCCACACACGGTCAGCACTAAGCCCAATTTGGGCCTCCAACCCACTAACCGTGAGATCATGACCTGAGCCTAAATCAAGAGTTGGATGCTTGAACCAACTGAGCCACCCAGGTGCCCCCTGTAAGTATTTTTAGGGCTGCTTTCACTTTAAAGTTTTTCTCTGGGCTGTGGAAATATTTCAGGACTTCCGGAGGGGTTTCCTTCGGTGCTTCCTGAGTTTTCTCCTGGGCTTTTTGCCTTCAGGTTCCAGCCCCAGGCAGGGGCTGCTTCTGGAAAGGCTGTGGGTGTGGCCCCGGCTGACCGCAGCCCTTCTTGGAACCTCCTACCCCCTGGTCACCCACCCTTCCCCTCCCAGGGAGGCTCCCTGTTTGCATTGGTTTGCTCTTGCTTTTGCTCCCCCTTCTCTGGGAAAAATGGTTCTTCCTGCATGCACACCCCCTTTCCAGGCTGAGGAGCACACTGATTGTAGGCAGGTAATTGAGGTCTCAGTTTCTCTGGCTCTACGTCTGTTCCCTCTTTTGAGAGGAGCAGCTGGAGGGAAGAGATGTGTTGCCTTGTCTTCCTCACCTATAAAATGGGAACAGGGGCGCCTGGGTGGCGCAGTCGGTTAAGCGTCCGACTTCAGCCAGGTCACAGTCTCGCTGTCCGGGGGTTCGAGCCCCGCGTCAGGCTCTGGGCTGATGGCTCAGAGCCTGGAGCCTGTTTCCGATTCTGTGTCTCCCTCTCTCTCTGCCCCTCCCCTGTTCATGCTCTGTCTCTCTCTGTCCCAAAAATAAGTAAACGTTGAAAAAAAAAATTAAAAAAAAAAATGGGAACAACATTACCACCCCCACTGACAGGGTTGCCAAATTTTTCAGCAAATAAAAATGTAGGATGTCCAGTTAAATTTGAATTTCAGATAAACAAT